AAACCAACGGGTGACGTCACGGTAGCTACGTCCATCTTTTATACAGTCTATGGTAACACCTAAGTGTTGTACATGTAAATTTCAGGTGTTTCCAATTTTTGTAAAATATAATATCGGAAAAATTCAACTTTCATTTTTGTCTTTTTATATCGATTTCTGGCATTAAAACAGTGCAATACGTTTTTATATCTGATTATGCTGCTTCAGTCGAGGTGTAGGAGCAAAAATTCCCCACAAACCTTTCAGGGTTCAGAGGGTGAATAAAATATTCCCTCTACCGATAACTATTTCTGTCTATTATAGATGTTCTCTCGATTTGCTTCAACCACAACATCTCTGACAGGGTTTGGCTGTGCACGACTTTACGTGTATGTAAATGGAAACCTCTGCAGAAGATAGCTGAAGGTTTGGGGTTAAAGAAATATGGCAGAGGCCACAGAAAGACACTCCCCTTGTCACTTGAAGCCACAAGGGTCACATTGGTCGGCAGCTGTCCCCGCAGCAGATGATGATTAGAAGAGAAGCAAGGGCAAAACACCTCCCTGTGCTATTTGTCTGGTTTGCAGCGATACAGACTGTTGCAGCAAAGTCTAGGAAAATAACAGCCAAAGAAGCCTCGTCGCATAGAAATCCCACTGAATGCATAATTCTCCTTTGTCTACTGGGTTTCTGTATTATTAACTAAAAAGGCCAGAAATAAGATCAAAACAAATTATGTGACCGACACTCCAAGTCCCCGTTTCACTGTTAAATATGGCATTTAAGCGCTCCCTCTCATCTCCTTCTCAGAGGCCATGAGTGTTTAAGCTTTCATGCAATACAAATGCCTCTGTGTAAAGGCTAGCAGTTCATGTTTGCCTTTTTCACGCCAGCTAAAGCTTCACATCATGAGGAAACCACTGTTCTGTCCAATTTGAGAAATAGGTACTCAGACAAATTGGCCTGCTTAGACTAAACTACGTGCTCAGAACATACGGCTGTTCTCCCTATTTGCTAAAGGTCTGGGAAAGAAAACACAGGACACTGCGAACCAATTACTTGCATAAAAAAAAAAAAAATCAAAGTCCACTGCCATTAATACCACCAGTTAATTTAGGCACCATCGACCGAGACAGGAGATCAAGAGAATCAGTAAGGTAAGCTCAGGGCTAATAAGGAGACTCCTTTAATAGTGTAACTGAGAATAAACTAAGTGCGGTCTTTATTTGATCCCCGACTCAGGTCAGACAAAAGGCAGTAAAATCTAATAAGACTTTTAGAAATAAACAAGCTTGAAAAGTCTCTTTTAAGGGGATGCTTAGCTGATCCATGAGTTAAGCAGACGACTGCAGGAAAGTTTTCAGAACAGACACAACACAAACCCTCGTCACGTCTCCCATCACGTAAAAAAGTGACTGAACAAAAAACATAAAGCCTCCCTGATCTGCTACTGCCAGCACCAAAGTCTTATTTGCACAACTATCATTTCTATATTGGTAGTCAGTCCCAAGTTACCTGCTACTTCCTCAGTGTTTTAGGAGTCAGTTTACAAATTATTCATGCAAAGTTGCTTTAGGTTAAACCCAAATGCAAAAAATATATATACTTTTAAGAAATGTTTCTTTTTGGACACATAACCATATAAATAAATTACAGAAATAGACTGTGAATTTAAATATCTCATTTAAAATAATACTTAAAAAGTACCAGTAACAGTGAGCAACCATTAAATTTCCTTTTTTTATGTTTATTTTTTATTTTTTTTAAAGACTGCTAAGATACAATACCATATTTGCACAAATATTTCCTTGTTATTTAAGAGAGGAATGCTAAATTCAAGCTAAATACTGTAAATATATTTCTAAAATTATATACAATTAGGGGCTGCAAGGTGGCTTGGTGGTGAGTACCGATGCCTCGCAGCAAGAAGGTTGCCGGTTCGCGTCCCGGTGGGGGCATCGGAATCTTTCTGCGTGGAGTTTGCATGTTCTCCCCGTGCAGTGTGGGTTCTCTCCGGGTTCTCCAGCTTCCTCCCACAGTCCAAAAAACATGTTGAGGTTAATTGGTGATTCTAAATTGTCCGTAGGTGTGAATGTGAGTGTGCTTGGTTGTCTGTCTCTAAGTGTAGCCCTGTGACAGACTGGTGACCTGTCCAGGGTGTCCTCTGCCTTCACCCTGAGTCAGCTGGGATAGGCTCCAGCCCCCCCACGACCCTAGTGAGGATTAAGCGGCGTATAGATAATGGATGTATGGACATACAATTAGCTCAGAAAACGAAGTACTTGTTCTGTGATTTAACATTTGTTTGTTAAATAAGAGATATGTTGCGTAATTTTTTCCAGAAGTAATGTTGAATCAGTCGGTTTTAATCAGTGTGTAGGATCTGTAAGCATTGGTAGTCTGTCAAAAATACAATTTTTATCATTAGAAATATAATTTATTACTACATCTATCGGAGAAATTGTTCTATATGTTTACTTGATATTAAGATTTTAGATATACACATTTATTTTTTGCACACTAGATTTATATCATTTGACACAATGTTTATTTTTGACAATATAGATTTTTTACATTTTTACTTTCTCTACTGTACATTCTGCACATTATACATTACAAACATATAAAATATTT